TGCACTACCTATTTGTTCAAATTTACATTCTATGCTCACCATGATGTTTTTTTGATGTGTTGCAACCCAGTTGAATGCAGAATGACATACATTTGTGATTCAAGACTGAATTCATGACAACCAAACCTCCTCTGCAAATATTGTCGCTATACCTGAATTAGTACATACTCCAAAAAGTATACCAAAATGTCATTCACACTGTAGTCCAGACCTTTTGATTTTTTTTAGCAGAGTGAAACATAAAAATATAGTCCACTCTCGATTTGTGTCCTGAATTAACTCCTCCTCCCTCAAAGAATTATTCAGCCTTCAATATGAGCCATAAATTATACCTCCTCACACAGAGATAATTTTATGTCCTCAATATGTGTAATTATACTGTTCCCAGTATGAATTATACCCCCCCAAACATATTTTCTGCACTCAATGTGTGATGTCAATATGTGAATTAGACCCCCTCACAGACTATGACTAATAATTCCCTTGATATATGGATCCAAAACTGCATTCTTTAAAGTAAAATGGCCACCAACCCAATCCTTCCACACACATTCTGTGAGGACGAAAATGTGTGACTTTGATGCATTTTTGATCTTTAAATGGCTGCCATTCGGCCATCTTGAATTGAATCATGAAACAAAACCAAATGTCTGATACAATGTTTGATGTATGTGTTAAGTTTGAACCCGATTGGTCCAAGCATGTGAAATACTGACTCATTGAGGTCAAGCCATAAGTTTTCGTTCGAATGGAGACTAAAAACTGATCTTGGTCATTTAGAACATTAGATGTAAGGGCTAATTGTCATATATACATACTTTCATATGGAAGTTTATGTTCAAAGACGAGTAGAACTGGTGAACAGTGAGATCAGTACTGCCTGAGTGAACATTTTGCGGTATTCTCATGATAACCATATTTTTCCATTTTTTCCTTTAGTTTTGTGAAATATAAAAGAAATGGCTGTGAAAAAACAATTTACAAGATTCCTGCCTGCACAAGAAAATTATTCTATTTTCATCGCATGCTACACTGTTGCAGTATCTAATGATATTTGTAATGCAGTCAAACACTTTCAGACACATCCATGTTGGTTTTTTACAAACTGTTACATTCTATGGTTTTACCCACCTGATGTAAAAATATAAATAATGAATGAGTTCTACAAACACTAACCACAAGTGTTTTTGTCCACTTTATTTCACAGTATGTACGTTTATCGAATGACACTCCACTGGGTGATTTGATGGATCTGTTTATTCATTGGAAGTTACCTCGGCCGAATCTTGTGATTTCAATCACTGGTGGTGCTAAGAATTATAAACTTGGTAAACAACATGTGGATGTTTTCAGTAGGGGATTGATAAATGTAAGTACAGGGTTCTGAAGTTTTATTTTACCAGTTTTGTTATGATATAAACTGATTTAAAGCGGGATGGTCATCACCTGCGCACATGCAGGAATTGGGTCCCAAGCGACGATAACAACACATGCTAAAAACGCATAGGCTCATGGGTAGACCCCTGTTTGTAAACAATGAAACACTATGGCCATCTGATGCATGCGCAGGTGACGACTCCCCCGCTTTAACCTCAACTTGTTTGAAGAAAGTTCACATTAATTGTTATAAGGGTTGTGACAGACAAGTAGTATGACGAAATTCTGTATGACTGAGAACTTTATTTTGTTTATTTCGTAGGAAATAAATCACTGACTTTCGAAAAATATCTTTCGCATGTCAATGCCCTCAATTTATCAAATTGTAAAAATTTCTGGTAGCAAAAAATATATTTGCCCAATGAATATTATTGGATTTAGCGAATTTTTAATGTTAATCAAAAGTTGTGTTTGGAAGATGATAATTTGACTACTTTTGACAATTTGTCATTGCAACATTTGTTTGTTGTGTTTAACAGGCTGCACAGAAGACAACTACATGGCTATTAACTGCCGGTACAAATCTTGGAATCGTCAAGGCAGTGGGAGATGCTGTCCAGGAAGGACAGCGTATGCAGTGGGTCGGCGGTAAGGTTAAACGAACTCTACGATGCCTTGGTATTGCATCATGGGGATACACTGAAGACCATGATTGTTTAATCAGTCCAAACAGCAAGGTAACTTTAATGGATTTATGCTGTCTATCGACAGTTGTATTGTAGTAAGTCTTGATTTTGGCAATTGGAATATGAAACCCGGACAGGTTTTCATTAAGGGCAAGGCGTTGATAGTTTGACTATGTTCTAATTTCAGGGACTATACCAAGCAAATGTTACACTAACATCTGCTGGCCAAAATGCATAATCCTGACATGATTTCATTAAGGGCAAGGCGTTGATAGTTTGACTATGCTCTAATTTCAGGGACTATACCAAGCAAATGTTACACTAACATCTGCTGGCCAAAATGCATAATCCTGACATGATTTCATTAAGGGCAAGGCGTTGATAGTTTGACTATGTTCTAATTTCAGGGACTATACCAAGCAAATGTTACACTAACATCTGCTGGCCAAAATGCAAAATTCTGACATGGTTTCATTAAGGGCAAGGCATTGATAGTTTGACTATGCTCTAATTTCAGGGACTTTATCCAGCAAATTACAAAGTGAACCCTGTAATAAAGCGAAACCATCCTGTTCCACTGAATCCGGAACACACTCATTTTATTCTAGTAGACGATGGAACTGACTTGAATTATAGCGTTGAACTGAATCTTCGAGCCGAGATAGAGAAAATTATTGCTGCACCGATCAATCCAGATGACCCTGAAGGTATGTAAATAAAAATAGATGAAATGATTGTATTCCAATTGAAGGTTTGGTTTCAGAAACAAGGAAGAAGAAGAAGAGAAGGTAACATTTAATTTTTGGGGGATGAACTACAAATAATGGTCTTTATTACCAATTGCCAAATACATACATGCCCTGCCAATTTACCTTGTACGATATGTTGATCATATTTGCATAAATGTGACTATGGTTTGGTCATCAGTTCCCATGGTTTGGTCGTTGGTAACCATGGTTATACCATAGGCAAGCATGCATGTGGTTGGGTCATAGGTAACCATGGTTGGGTCAATGGATTGACACAAAGTGTATTTCTTTCTGATGTTTCTTTATAAAATAATATACTTACCTGTGTAATTATCAACTTAACCATCACATTTCCATGACTTTTGCAACATTATTTTTTTATTTCATTTATATATATATATTTTGTATCATATAATATCTCAAAATTTTGTTTGCTTATATATTTTGTAAAATTATCTGGTTATAAGATATCAACATTTGATTGTCACCAATTAATAGAAAATCTGGTGAATACGTTTGATATTAAATGGATAATACCAGTGTTGAATATTGTAAAATTACAAACTTTCAGTTTTCTTTAATAGTTCAACTTTGTATATTTTGTAAAGGATCGGGATTGGGTGTTCCTGTTGCTATGTTATTGGTCGAAGGTGGTGTAGACGCCATACGTACTGTCTGTCAAGCGATATCCCGTGGTATTCCTACGGTTATCTGTGAAGGTACCGGTAGAGCGGCTGATATACTGGCATATGCACACAATAATTGTGTTGTAATGAAGTAAGTTGATTTTTCCCTTTTTTCTTGGCATTATTTGTCTGTAATTTTTGTTGATTTTGTTTAAATTTATGGTGGTTGAGTTAATGGTAATTACAGTTTTAAACCAACTTACCATATTTTCTCCATTATTAGTGCTCACCAACCCAAAATTCCAAAACAGGGACTTCACTTCTGTGTGTGTGACTGCATGTGTACGACAATAGCTGTAGCTATCTATTTTTTTTCCTTCTGATTTATGTTTTAAATAAAATATTTCCTGTGTCGTCGGGGTCAATTTGTTATGGTCGTTATGGACTATGAAAGCATAGCATATTTAGCTTTTTACCAATGTCATACATCACTTGCAAGTAAAAAAAGATGGCTGGGATGTTGCACCCAGGTCTACAGAGGGCGCCATCTATTGAAATCAAATTTAGTCAAGCAAACGTCAGGAATTACAGTACAAAATGACAACATACCACGACCCTGGGCGAAATGTATACTTTGCCACTGTAGAGGCTGAATCCCTTTCTAACAGCAACTCACTGATAATTTTTTGTGTCATTTAATTTAATAGTGTGTGTTGTGCATCTTAATATTCTATGACTGATTTCAACAAAATGGTGACTACTCGACCCTTAGTTTTCACATAACATTTTATGTGCAGGTGTGAACTTGTGTACGATCACTTTGCCTATGCATTTGTGTCTAAAATAATATGTTGATAAGTGGTCATATTCAAAGATGCATTTTGCTTTAAATATCTACACAGTGAAGTAAGACAAATAAAACCAAGCAAGATTTCCACAGTGAAGGAGAAGTTGAAAAGTGCTTATGGCAATGAAAAGTCTGATGAACAGTTAAAAGATGTGTTGAAAAATATTCAGACAACTGTCAGTGAAGAGAAACTGGTGAGTGTTTGTTCTCATTATTGAAATCTATCTGTGATAATTAGTATCATCAATATTACTACTGAGATAACAGTATGTACAATTAAAATAAAGTCAACAAAATAAAAAAAAAAAATTTTGTCATTTTAACCTTGATTGCAAACTTCTGACAACAAAATATACGAATAATGTGAAACATGCAATAATTTGCACAATTTGGCCCTGAAAGGTTAAATTATTTTAAATTAATTATTTGAGTTTGTAATTTGATTTTTGGCAGTTAACTGTGTTTGATATGGATTGTGGTGAAAATGCTGACATGGATTTGGCAATTCTCACTGCTCTTTTGAAAGGTATGTTATCAGTGTCCATGTCTATACAGGCCTGTTGCGTTTAATTTAGTAAATGTATGTATAATGCAAGTCTGTATAATTAACAGAATTTATCATATGCAAGTGATGTTATATGCGATGAAGTTCTTACAAGAATTGTTGATGCATGGTCACAAAATTGAAAAACAAGCCTACATTTTGAGAGATTAATTCTGATGCAAATTAGTGTGTCTGTGAAAAAAAATTTTTGTGTTTATCTCAGACCATTTTTGATAGTCTACGTCCTTGCTTATTCGCAAAGCTTACAATACAATCTGTGTATTTAAATGCGATGATAATCTTGTCTTTCTCATTTCTGTTTATGCTGTCAAACCCGCCACGTGTTTACTGCATTCTTTGATTCAATTCAATACAAATATGTTTGATTGGTGCGCATGGAATGGAATCGCTTTCAAATGCTCACAAAGCAAAAAAATTTGCTTTTCGTGAGGTTGCATATATATCATCATAGATGGTTATGAATGTTACATGCCCTTCTGTAACCTTTTCACCAACAGACTTCCTCACCTAGATTATTCTGCACTTTTTTGTTTATATTCTTCAATAATTCTGGAAATGAACCCTAATTTTGGAGCCAACTGGCTATTTTTGTGCTAATCATCTGAAGGAAAGTGCAGACTATAAACAGGACTATAATTTTGTGAATTTGTGATGAAAAGAGGGAATTGGCGATGAAAAGATTAATATAAATTTATGTTGACAGACATGTCACATTGATTGTTAAAGTAGAATATGGTAAACCATTTAATTTTTTAAAATTTCACAATTTGCCAACATTCATGGGAATCAAACTTAGCAAAAGTCACTGTGACATAAAGATTCAAAATGAAACATTCATTGTTACTATAACAATATATTTCACATTTTCACTGACTTGTGAACACATCTCTTCCTAAATCAAAGTTGTTTACATTATCCACAATTATTCGTTTAATACAAACAAATGACATAATTATCATGCATACCAATATCAAACAATAGTCATTTGTATTATAAAAAAACACCAGATCATGAAATTTGTTTTATCATAAACTGTAGAGAATCTCCTTCATGGTCTATTGTTTAATGTTCAATTCTTGTATTTAGGGGCTGCAGTTAACTGGCAACATCAGATAGAATTAGCATTGTCATGGAACTGTATTGATGTGGCTAGGGAGAGAATCTTCAGTGAAGACAATACTTGGAAGGTATAGTAGTTCACACAAAAACGCTATTGCCTTGGTTTTTTCTTGTTTTTTGATTGATACATTCAGAAATTTTAATATTTCACTTTTCCCACTGGTAATTGTAAAGGATGTTGACATTCAGGGTGAAATGTCTATGGTAATGTCAGTCGTTATCATCGACATCATAGTTAACAATTTTCCTGTGGCTACTATACCACACAATGTTTTATTCAAACCTCCTCTGCATGCATTGCATGTTTTCAATAAACTTTTAGTCACAGTTTCTCGTAAAGTATATTGACAATAGTAGGCGCCAATTTAGATGGCAAAAAAAACAATGATGGCATTGGCCTAGATGTTGAAGAAAGAGGACAACATCACAGAAGCACTTTGCCACGAGATGGTGACATATCACTAGAGGGCAACATCACAGTAGCACTTTGACACTAGAGGGCACAATTTATTATAAAATGTTATTGACAGACTATATTCTTAATATATATCTTTCTATTTATAGGGAGAGCAGCTTCATGATTTTATGACTGCAGCATTAGTCGATGATAAAGTAGATTTTGTTCAGTTGTTTTTAGAGAACGGAGTCATTATGCAAGAGTACTTGACCGTATCAAGACTTAGGTATCTCTATAATTCTGTAAGTAATAGTATACTCTGTATTTTAAAAGTACTTTTGGTACTTTTGCCATGTGCATATGTTTTGTCATCAAAAATCAAATAAAAAATTTCAAATATTGAAAAAGAAAAAAAGAAGACAATGCTGTAAGTTTTGGTTATAGGTGTCTTGAATGTGTAATCAAAAAATAAAAATAAAAAAAAAATATTTTTGGACTGTTACTTTAATAAAGGGATTCCTATCTGTATTTTGAAACTCCCATTGTGCATCTCACTTTAACCCTTTAAATAGCAGAGTAAATTTTATCATTTTACAAATCAAAGCTTCAGTTTTTTTTTTTTAAATCTTGATTAAGACCTACAGCTGATGTATTGTAACTACTGTGGCATACTTTATTTTCGCTGGAATTAATTTTTGCTGAAAAAGCTTTTGGGGCGATTGGTTGGAATTTATTTTCACTGATTTTTAATGAGTTTAAATGTGAAATATAGGAAAAAAGTATATTCACTGGATTTTATTTTCACGGAATCATCCCTTCAGCGAAAATAGCGAAAATAAATTCCAAGCGAAAATAAAGTATTCTACAGTATTGTAGATAAATACTTTGAAGATGAGCATAATGATGCACAAACATTTTGGTTAGAAAATAAGGGTGAATAAAAAGATTACCTCATTCATTACATTGGTGGATATGACTAATATTAATAATATAATATCCTTACAGTGTGAAGCAGACAGCAACTTTAGAAAAATTATGAGATCACTTACAAATTCTAAGGTAAGAATGAATAAGGCGAGTGAGTGTATTTACTGTGAACCCAATTAATTATTCGCTGGTTTTAAATTTCGCTATTTTTGTTAATAAGTGAAATTCGCTGAATTAAATCTATGTGAATTTGTACAATAACAAAAGAACTCATTGTTATCTTGCCAAGTTCATGAACAGAAAATCTAGTGAAATTACTCTAAACTTCAAAATTGTGAAATTAAATGTCAGTAAGGCTTCACAGTATTAGTAGTATGTATATTTGCGTAAATGATAGAGGTGAGTACTTTAATGATCCAACATACAATAAAATATATTTTTAGTACCCGGTACTAGTATATTGCGTACTTTTATTTGAAATGCATTTCTAATAGAGCAAAGACACTACCGGGGTATATACTGTTTTCCCCTTGGGTATTCGTTCCGCTGTCGTGATGATATCTTCAATTCTCTAATTTATAATAGTATTGACTTCTTGTTAAAAACCACAAGTTCGATTACTTCGATATTATACATATAGGTACCTCAGGTGGAATTTTCTCAGATTTGTTTATTTCATGATAATATCTTCAATTCTCTAATTTATAATATTATTGACTTCTTGAACCACAAGTTTGATTGCTTTGTTATTATATTATGCATATAGGCACCTCAGGTAGATCTCTCTCAGATTTGTTCATTTCATGATGATATCTTCAATTATCTAATTTATATAATATTTTTGTCATTTTTAGTAAAAAGTGATATTTTTGACTTCTTGTTAAAAACCACAAATCAGTTTGCTTTGATATTATACATCTAGGTACCTCGAATGGACCTCTCTCAGATTTAGTCATTTTGTGATGATATCTTCAATTCTCTAGTTTTGATGAATATTTGTCATTTTTGGTATAAAGTGATGTTTTTAGTCCCCGGGGACTTATGTTTTGACCTCCGTGTGTCTGTGCGTGCATCTGTGTGTGTGTGTGTGCGTGCGTGCATCTGTGTGTGTGTCCGGACCTATATCTTAGAAATGCCTGGACCAATCACAATCAAACTTCGCACATACATCGTTCATGATATTGTACATATGCACGTCAATTTGTTTCACGATCTGATTCAAGATGGCCGAATGGCGGCCATTTTTGTGCTAAAAATCATCAAAATCAAGCGTTCCTCGGCTGTTTACAGATGGATTTTGTTCAAACTTGGTTTATACATTATACATTATAGGATTTTGATGCACATCATTTTGTTTCACGATCTGAATAAAGATGGCCAAATGGTGGTCATTTTTGTGCTAAAAAATCCTACAAATCAAGCATTTCTCAGCTGTTTACAGATGGATTTTGTTCAAACTTGGTATATAAATTTGACATTATAAGACCTTGATGCAAATAATTTTCTTTTTCAGATAAGATTCAAAATGGCCGTATTTTGTATTAATGAATGTGGTTCTCGTGCCATATCGCTGACTTGCTTTCACTGATTATGTTCAAATTTTAAATATTCATTATACATCATGTCATAGATAGACAGATGTATTGGTTTGATGATCCTATTCAAAATGGCCAAATGGTGGCCATTTTTGTGCTAAAAAAAATCATCAAATATCAAGCATTTCTGGCATTTATGAATGGATTTCATTCAAACTTGGTACATGCATTACACATTACGGGTTCCTGATGCACGTCATTTTATTTGTCAGATTAAATTCAAAATGGCTGACTGGCGGCCATTTTGTTTTAATGATTGGGCTTCTAAAGCCATATCTCTTAAATGCTTTGACTGATTATATTAAAATTTTGTATATTCGTTATACATCATGTTATATATATACATGTATTCAAAATGGCTGATTTTGAATGCTGTTTCAGAGCAATATCTCTCAATATGGACAAGTACTTGTTTTACGATCAGATACAAATGTCAATGTTAGAAAATAATATTCCTGACATGGGTATATTCCAACTATATTACTATAAACAAAACTATATATCTTAAATTTGATAACTAACGGGGACTGTGCCATGCATGGCTAGTTGAATTCTTGTTAAAAACCACAAGTCCGATTGCTATGATATTATATTATGCATATAGGCACCTCAGGTGGACCACTTTCATATTTGTTCATTTTGTGATGATATCTTCAATTCTCTAATTGGAATGTGCATTGCTAACAGCGGAGCTATCTCAGCCAAGAAACTGCTTGTTTTCATACATTATAAAAGTTTTTCATTTTCATCCAACATACACCTGAGATATCAGTGTGTAAGTGTTCTATAAAGTTGTAAAATATATTAAGGTAGAGGCCTGCTCATGAATGCAAATACAAAGAATGCAAAGAATTTATTCATTTTTCAATAAATTGTTCTTCTGGGCAATATAATTATATTGACTTGTGTTTGGGGTCATCAGCTTATTTTTCGAGAAAAATGATGGTTGTATTTTAGTGGATAGTGGCCATTTTGGCAGTACAGTGTATTATTATAATAATAGTGATTTTACCATAGGTTCCTATGACAGAGATATTATGCCATATCTCAAACTGTAGGCTGAAAATTATATAATGGGGTACTTTCTGTTGTCCTCAATAATTTAAAAAATCTGGGGTTGAAAAGTGTCAATAAATGCAATTATTAGTGATTTTTGAAGAATACTAGTTTCTCAAAAATACGTCACTGTAACATACAAAATAATGCTATTTCACAGTGCCATGAGACATTAACTTAATGATTTTACATAATAAACTAATTAACATTCGCATGTGATTTATGACAAACTTCCTCAAAAATTAGGAGTAGGCTCCTACCTTAAGTGGTTATTCCGTAAGTACAAAATGCTGAACTATGCTGTATTATATTTAATTCAATACTTGAACTTAAACATTACCAGAAAAGCTTGATTCTTTTGGCTGGTTGATGTAAATATTTAACAAACTGACACATTTTACCCAAATATTAATTAATACTGTGATATTATCTTAAACGGATAAATGTATTTTTCAAATGGTAGAAAAAAGGTCCCTTTACTCTACGTGATGTTGGTCAATGTATTAGAAAAATTGTGGGTGCACATTACGAGCCACTGTATTTGAGAGACAGGAAATTTAGAGGCACCAGGCGAGATGTGAAGGCATTGGTAGCACTGTCAGTCAACTTAACAGGTAGGAATTTTAAAGTACATGTGTTTACAATAGTTTTGTCATATCCTCTCTAATAAATCCATGCAACTTACAGGTCAGGTGACATATCATGTCCAATGCATTTTAATCTGTATGTGAATGACTTGAATGATACATTAAAAGATTCAGTAAACCAGGTAGCATTAAATAATTATAAAATTAACTTTCTACTTCATGCGGATGGCCTAGTATTGATTTCAACAACACAATTAGATTTGCAAAATGCATTAAATAAATTATCTGTGTACTGCCACAAACTCTAGGTAAATCTTAATAAAACCAAAACATCTTTAGAAGACAGAATCTGTAAGCAATGTTCCCAGATCAAAATTGAAAATGAAATGAAATGAAGGTACCGAACAGAAAGACAAAAGTTATTTAATAATATCAATATTCCAGAAGAATTAAAAAGTGTTGTTCAGATATTTAAATATATTATGAGTTCATGAGAAGACGTACTAATAAGACAAGTTGGTCAATACAAAATATTTGAAATCAGAAATAACAAACTGACATTTTACTTTAGTTTTATATGTATTGTACTTTATTACTAACATTTTGTTGCTGTCTATCAATGGAAACTATTTCTAGGGATGCAATAAATTCATTATTATTATATTATGTGAAAAGTCAGGTGACATCATTTCAAGCAAGAATATAAAATACTGTTGTTCAAAAACACATCTGAATCTGAATCTTGCTCATCAGAATTTCAAGCTCGAAAAGTAGGTCCAGAAAGTAACAGACAGATTTTAATGAAACTTGGTATAAACAAAAAAAAAAGCATTTTATTGTTAAATTTGCATATTCATTTTTAATTTAGCAATCTGCAAAATAAAAAACCCAGCAAATAATTAAGTCTTATTATTTGACCTTTGACCCTTTCAGGTATGGGAATTGTGCACAAAGCTCAGCAGGAATACCTCAAATCAGAGAAGATGGAAGAGAGACATACCGAGGAGGATGATGATGATGATGATGATGATGACTTGGAATATCTCAGTTCATTTCAACTTACTAATCCAGGCATGAATTTTGAAAAACCATATCGAGAATTGTTCATATGGGCTGTACTCATGGGCAGGTAGGATATTTTCAGCTTTTCTCGAAAATGAATGACAGATTCATTATTGGGTGAAATTATGCAGGATATTAACAAGTTTATTCTAATTTTATGTTCTGTAAACCACTCAATTGTTGCCGCTATCATCAAAATTTGGGAGTTTTGAAGGGTTTTTGGATACAACATTTCACAAATATTTCTCATACTTGCTGTCTGAATAATCAAAATGAAATGTTCACTGATGCAAAATGTTGTCATTTTCTTTAATTTGTGAAATTTGCATAAAAAATGTACAGTTTATTAGAGTGGATTTTAGAATTTCCATAAAAGTGATATTGTCTGGAAAATCGTGTGCAACCACACATACAGTGGAAATCAATTCAACTTGGTAGTTCAATATTAGCAGCATACAGCACTTTGTTTTGTTTGGTGATTAACTTAAACAATAATCGGAAGCTTGGAAGTTCACTCGGAGAGAGAGTATCAATGAGGATCTGTCATCAAACAGGTGGTGCATGTTTATCAACACCGAGTGACAACTAGTGTGATTTCTTACATTAAGAGTAATCAACTTCAACCATGGTATTAATAATTATCATCATTGTAATTTATCATATGATTTATTACCATAGAGATGTAGCAATATAGCTCGCAATTGCTTTTGTTTACTTGTATTGTAATTAATTATTCACTGGGTATTAATTACACTATTTTTGCTGATAGGTAAAATCCACTAAATCAAATCTATGTGAAAATGTAAAATAAAAGTCATTGTTTCTTTGACAAATTTGTGAACTTGAAACCCAGTAAATATGCTCAAGATAGAGAAAATACATTTTTGACTTTTATATAGTTTCATATATCCACCTAAACCTTGTATTATCACTCACATTACATAATATAGAATGGATTTGGCGGAATTTCTGTGGGAGTATGGTGATGAAGCAATATCTTCTGCCATTGCTGCTGTGAAAATCTTTTCTGATATGGCTTATTTGATGAGCAATCCAGAAGATAAACAAAGTTATCTAGAGAATGCTAAGTAAGTAATACTTCAATTAAAATAAAAATTACATGCTGAAAAATAAATATGAATTAATAACCGTTATACCTATTTTCTGCTAGAAAATTTGAGCAGCTGGCTGTGAATGTGTTAGATGAAAGTTACAATTGCGATGAAACTTTAGCTGGGATGTTGATTGAGAGGAGACATACAAACTGGGGTGGTATGAATATATTAAATATGGCTGCCGAGGCTGGATGCAAGGTGAATACTTCAATGATAGACATCACATTTTAGTTTTTATCGCACTTTTGTTTATAATTAAAGGATTCAACAGCATATTAACAACATCAACCAACATATAGTAGATGCATACGTACTGTCTGAGTTGTTTTGAAACATGTCCACCATTTTGAAAATACAGGTCTGTGTTATTTTGTGATACACTGTGGATGCAAAATATCAATTTATAATGATTTTAGTGATAATAAGTCAACACAAACCCTGTATTATACTCACATACTTAATTGCCACCATAAAATTAAATTAAATATTTTTAACTTTGCAGGCATTTGTATCCCACCCGTGCTGTCAAAATCTTCTGAATCAGATATGGCAAGGTGGTATATGTTCATCTCCGACTGAGGTAAGCAATAGATCCAACACATGTTTGAGTTTATGATATATTGCATTTTAGAGATCAATTTACATTAAAGGGCAGTAATAAGTACATTATGTATATTAATGCTTAACTGTTGTATGGCACCAATATTGAATAAGCACGCTGTCTGCTGCCTTTAAAATAGCAGCACAAATAAGAGACAACCGAAAATCATAATTATTCATAACACTACAAATGACTCATTAAATCAGTTATGCTTCTATTCGTCTTCATTCCTCACTGGTTGGTAAACTCTGCCTCAATGCTCACTATTAAATTAAATTGTACTTTTTCTCAAATGTTTCTTAATATTCCTTTTCTGCAGCCTGCAATCACCTTTTTAATCTGTCTTTCTTGAAACCATCTCTGCTCCAAGGTATGATTCTATATTTTCCAAGCTTGTATATTAATTTTTTCAAAGGTGGATACATTTTGAGGAGTTACTTTTTATAACAAATAACTTGTTGGTAATAAACTTCTATATTAATACAATTAATATCATCCACAAAAGTACATGACTATAGTTAATTTTGTGCCCTTAAATTTATCCGCCTTTGATATTTGATTATATATCCTTCTATCAGTCCTATTTTCCAACATATATTTTTATAATATTCATTTCTGAGAAATTGACCTGCATGTACCGGTACATACAAAATTATGTTTGCACATGAACTGTAAAATACCTTATTTTAGCTGAAATTAATTTTTGATGAAAAGACATTTGACTGTTTTGTATCAAGTTTATTTTCACCGATTTTTGATGAGTTGGATGTAAAATATAGGAACAAAAGGTATTTTCACAAGATTTTATTTCCAAGTGAAAATAAAGTACTTTACAATAATTATAAAAGCACTCAATTATCTAAGATTGCTGAAGTTGAATAAAAAATTATTGGTTCTAATAATTTGGAAAGTGTCATATTACCGGTAATAATAAAATCCTAGTTCTAGTATGGTATGTTTAATACAGATTGATATTGTAAAAAAACTGGCTTTTTAGTCTATTTTTAATTTGTTTGAATACTCTCCAGGTTATTCTAGCCAGTATTTTCCCTCCATGGTTGTTAAATTTAAAGTACAAGGATAATACAGGTGAAGTTTTGACGAGGTTCCAGAAGACTAAAATATTTATAAATGCACCAGTTGCCAAATTTTGGGGTGGAACGGTAAGTCTTAAGTATCTTCATATGATAATGCAATTAGTTTGATAGATATTTTCCACTACTTGGAATTCTCAGTACTTTGAATATAGCACGTACGTTTGCTTGATTAAACTGTGACTAAGTTACTTTTGAACTTCTGGGGTTGACACATTTTGTGTTTTGCATTACAAATTGCACACAGAGTACAATGTTTTGTACAGAATACTGATTAGAAAATGCACTGAACTATCAGTCAAGTCATCATTGTAGTAAAGTCCTTTTCAACTTAATTTCTGTATGTAAATTTTTACAATTGCAAATAAATTTGTCACCTGTATTTGAAATCTTGATGTATGAATAAGATTAATATTTGCATCCAGCTGAAACATAGCAAAAAATTTCCAAAGTCGCATGCATTCACTCTCAAGGTACTGAGAATTGCTCAAGGTACATTCTCTCATATTATCAATTTTCCTTTGCTAATATTTCACATTTTATGTCTGTTACAACAATGTTACACCATCATTTGCTCTACAATGTTACTACCTGTAGTAGGGCCACTAAAGATGTCTGCAGAACATCCAGCTTATTACCACATATCATTTGCTAACACACATTTTTCTCTGCCGTTCACCATATCATATCAGTTACATATGTTTTAAAAATGCAAAGCAACTCACTGATTCATGACTGAGTTTGATTAGTTTTAAAAAAATCACCAAATCTTCTTTACCAATTATGACTGTGCTGTATAGTCAAAATATTAAATTGTAAATTTTGGCAGTTTAGTTTATTTACTATTAATACCCTGTACTGGATTTCCAGGTAACATAAATAATACTGCATTAATGAACAGCGCCCTCAATCACTTATAAAGTGATCATTAACTTCAATCATTTATTTACTATAACTGCATGTATATTGTTTCCTTTCAGTTTTTATACATAATATTTCTACTGTGGTACAGCTATGCTATTCTCTTTAACTTTGGTTCTACTCCTGACATTGGTGATATTCTTCTCTTTGGCTGGATTTGTACACTTATGGTAGAAGAATTCAGACAGGTATATTTCAATCCCAAACAGTATTAATGTAGATTTGTTCACATTCTGATATTGGGGACCCTCTTGGAGTCTTGTCTTCAGACACCATGTAGAATATGTTATGGTACATACATGGTTTTTCATGCACCAGCTGCTGATGTAGCATTTCCCTTCACATCTTGAATTCAGTTCACAATTAATATAGTCATATCATAATCTTTGTGTAAGTTAATGTATTCAATGATAAAATAATCGCACAAGTTTAGGATTGTAAACACCACAGTTGTGTTCAGTTGTATGTAAACACATGAAGCCATGGCTGAGTTAAGTGTTTATAAGACATGATAAAACACATTGTGATAACAATTATAAATTACTGGCTACACCAAAATGGTAAAATTGAAAGATTCAATTGCCTGGCACACTGTATCGCGACAAACTAAGCCTAATGTGCCTAACAAAAGGCTTGTTGTAGACCTTGTGATTTTCTCATTATAAGTTCAATGCATACCACCTGACGTTGAAAGGTCCATTCTAATGCATGTAGTAGTCAATCGGTATTTGTTAGAGGCTCTATGTGATGCTGCTGGTTTGTAAACCCATGCTGGACCATCATTTTTAATAGTTAAGGAAGAACTCTATCTTGCACATTTGCTATAAGCTACATAGTCTTAACCAAGGTGCAAGAGCTGCACATATTAGTGTAGGTTTTCAAAATATGTGAGATTTACTACAATATAATTTAATACTGCTTACAAAATATTTGATCAGTAGAATTAATATCAGTTATGTACTTATTAGCTACTTTTTGGCTTGTTGTTATTATTCTAACAGTCTGCTAACTTTCTTTAACGAATGGTTTTTCTTCAGCATTTACTAGGAAAGTACTCTTTATTTGTTCCAACAATACTGATTTACGAGGAAAACAACTGTTTTTCAGAATTTTTTCAGAACATGACTCAAGTAAAGAGTGCAACATTTCCCTCAATATTAAAAATAATTCAATTTTTAAACAACACTCTGGATTCAAACCAATGATTTTCAGATCAGATAACGTGCATGCATGTTCACTCGACTGAATGAGCTGAGCAGTGGTTTGTGGTTGAAAAGCATACATGTAGTTTTAATACTATGATATGTATATGAATCAGGTGTGATTTCTACAGGTCATTGGTTTATTCTTCTATGCAAAAAGAGTTACATAAAAAAATGTACGCAACACGCAACCCGTTGACTGCAAAAAAAAAACTCTTAAAAGCCACTACATTGGCAGTATTACTTTGTTAAAGTACGGCAACTTTAATGCTTATGGTAGTTAACAGGGTTGAGGTTCTAGTAAATGTCTGTGGCACACTTAACAGAAATTAAAAATTTAGGGCAGGGCTTGACTGTTTACTAGAACCTCAACTTCAAACAAGACATTATTAAACTACTGTTAGTGTGCCTCATAGCCGTATTTTAACTATCAGTTAACTGTTACATGTACATTAGTAATTACACTCACAATATGAATACAACCATTACATTAGCATTTTACGCTGCATTAAACACAGAGATATTGTTTTCTCATCACAAATTCACAAAATAGTCCCGTTTATAGTCTGCACTTTCCATAAAAAAATTGGGGCAAAAATACCAAATTTTTTTGAGTAAAAACTGAAAATGGACTCAAATTTTGTCTGTAGGCTCCAAAATTTTATTTCCAGAAATATTGAAGAAGATAAGAAAAAAGTGCAGACAAATTTGGGCAAGAAAGTCTGGTGGTGAAAAAAAAGGAATAAATGTATGGGTCACATGGTTAAGAATGATATAACTCGCATAATAATTAAATTAACAATTTGTTTATATCATTTAACAGTCACTGATACCGGAAGAGCATGAATCTGTTGACCAAAATCTCAAGAAGTGGGCCAGTAGTTGGTGGAATATAATGGACTTTCTGTCAATAGCACTGGCAATTAGCGGTTTCACTCTACGATGGTTTGAACCCACATTTGAAGCAGCAAGGGCTCTGTATGCTGTCAACTGTTCCCTGTTTATTCTGCGCATCATGAGGATGTTTTCACTGAACAGTACACTTGGTCCAAAACTCATCATGATTGGCAAGATGGTAGGTTGTCCACTGAAACTATTGCCTTGTTATGAGCTGGCTCAAACTTAAAAATACAAATTTTTATTCATTTATTTCTATCAACACAACAAACTAATTCTTTTTATTTATATAAATATCTATAAATGTCAATGGCTGTTGAAATCCAACCAGCCTACTAATGAACATGTGACATATTGACATTACTTGAAAATGTTCCAATGTTTATTTCATGGGCCAATAGAAACCTCTTGTTTCAGTTTGGATTTTGAAATTTATAAATATTTGTTTGAAAGCAATGATATTTTTGACTTTTTCTTGAAAACTATAGCTCAATTGAATTGATATGTTGGTACCTTGGATGGACTTCTATTAGATTAGTTTCTTCTGTGCATCAGGGGAACACTCCAGGCAGGCTCTGCTGAAACATCAGAGCTATTTTGACGATCAGGTTACTTGTTTACTATAGCAAAAAAGAATTTAAAGTTTAGAAAATTTAGTGTGTTTGTTTCTTTCAGTTAATAGAGATGATGTTGTTCCTTGTCATACTACTGGTGTTCCTCATCAGCTATGGCGTGGCATCACAGGCATTGCTATACCCAAATAGACGCACTGCATACTGGGGAATATTCAGAGATGTTGTGTATATGCCATATTTTCAAATCTATGGAGAGTTATTCCTTGAAGAGCTTGATCCTCATTTCGGTGAGCTTTACAGTGTACCGGTATATCATTTTCAACATTTTATACAACTTGAGTTTGAGTGATGAAAGTTACATCCAGGATGAGCTGCAAACTTATGATCTTCCAGTGATGAGCTTTTAGTTATTCAACTTTGCAGTTAAAAAATTATGAACTAGGTGATATACTACCAGTATTGGATTAGTTTAGTGCATATTCGCTAATGTTATGTACATGTACATGGCCCACAACTCAAGCAATCACAAATTTACAACAAGTGACTACTGTAAAATACTTTATTTCCCTTGGAATTAAATTTTCGCTAATTTCACTGAAGAAATGGTTCAGTGAAAATAAAATCCAGCGAATATACCTTTTTTTCTATATTTTATATTCAACTCGTCAGAAATCAGTGAAATAAATTCTATAAAAAACACCCAAAAAGTTTTTTCAGCAAAAATTAATTCCAGCTATTAAAATAAAGTATTTTACAGTAATTGGTCAGCACTTCAAATACTGGTACTCAATAATTCTTCATCATCATCAATTATTCATATAATTAAATATGGTTCAAATTTAAATGTACTGTAAATGCATTAATTATTCACAGTTTTTTTATTTCAATATTTCTGTTGATAAGTAAAATTTGCTAAATTGAATCCATGTGAAAATGTGGAATAATAACAGAACTCATTGTTTCCCTGTAAATGTCCATGATTTTAAAAGCCAAGAATATTGCTAAAAACATCAAATTAGTGAAATTAAATTGCAGTAAAAAAAAAAATTTACAGAATTGCTTTAAATTGAATTTAAATATTATTTTTTTTCTGTTTTAGTTGATGGCGAGAACCCAGTATGTGATGCCAGTAGTGTAGACCCCACACAGAGCTGTTCTACGGGACACCCGTTAGTCCCTCTATTATTGGCTGGTTATCTAATTGTCGGGAATGTATTGTTACTTAATTTGCTTATTGCTATATTCAGGTAAGTGTAAACTCCTCCGATCAAACAAATAAAAAAGATTTTGTATTTTTTTTTGCATGTGGCCACTAAGGCTGAAAAAATAGTTTTGCTTTCCGTTACAGGGAAAATTGAAAAATGATTTTTTTTTGTAATAAGAATAACATAACAATAAGATATATTCAATATTTAACATTCATGAAATGAGACTTTCAAATGTTTGCATTAAAGATTGATTGATATCAACAAAACATTTTCTGAAACGGAAAACAATTCCCGTACTCTACCATTATATAGGGCACGTCATTGGTATGTTAAATTCTAACAGAAAATGTGTAGGCAACAGATTTCAACCTGACACATACAATGACGAGAAGCAAAACTTTTTTTGGGCTCAAATGGTGATGAGCAGCAGAATTATAGAATTTAAACTTAATTTGCATATACGATCTACCCTTGTTAGCTAAGCCAATAAGAGACCAACTTGATGATTATCAGCGCAGTACACACATACCTGCATATGATATTTAGGCAAACTTCACTATGGCAGATCAGAGTTTAATTGTCATGTCAAGTTGAACATACACCTTTACATAAATATTTTAAGTATGACCATTGTGATGTGTTAATTCTTTCAGTTTTGTGTTCGAGGAAATTCAAACCAACTCTTTACAAGTTTGGAAGTATGACGTTTATCAACTTGTTATGGAATTTGACGACAGGCCGCCATTGGCCCCACCATTTATTATCTTCAGTCATATATATTTGCTGTTTAAATGGTTTTTCAGGAGAATGAAAAAGCGAACTGTAACAGGTAAGCTAGAACACTTGTCCTTATTATGTAGTCACTTTGTTTCGTCACAAGAAGTGCTGTCTCAGCACAGACCTGTGTCATATGACTCCTTACTAGCCGATTTTCGCTAAAATAGCACTTTGTCGCCATTTACGCCAGTGTTTATACACAAAACTTGATAAGTCTTTTAACAATTTAAGTTACTTTTCAATCACTTATTTTAGTGAAATATTGTTTAGTGAGTGAAATATTAATGTCATACATAATTCAATCTTTGGAACAGAAAAAACTAAGACATAATATACAATAATAAAATTTGTGTTTGAAATTCGTAATTTGCCGCGTAATTTCAGGTTTCAACTATCTTGACATAGAACATCCTTGAACGCAATAAAATCATGTGAGGAATGCCTTCTGGAACAGCAACTAGCAGCGTAAACTGATTGCAAATTGTACGCATTTTTAGATTCAGTTCATTTTTACAGTACATGTATTACAAGTTTCATTTATTATTATTTAGTAAAGAAATCACTAAAACGCTTTATAATATGTGTAAAATTTCGAAATGTTCAAAGTTTTTAACAAACTCCCGGCACTCCTTGCATATTACGGTATGCATCAGATGAGTATTGAGAGGACGCCACCTTGCATCGTCAATGATGTCATCCTCACAATGATCATTTCATATGCATTGGTGATCTGTTATTGTATTGTTTATTTCATTTTCAGCCCAAACATATTCCAGTAAACATCTGGAGATATTATGGCTACTTGAAAAAGATTCGGCAGCCAGCTATCGAAAGAAAAAAATGCACGAAGAGAAAGCTACTATTGAAGAAAAAATTAATAAAATAGAAAAAAAGTGAGTTGCTCTTTGTTGATTGAAGTACTGACAATTGGATAACAAGTACTGGATAAGTTACTCAACAAATTTAAGCACATGACAGTAATATTATTGCAAACTCACTTTGACCTTTTCACCACAAGTTCCCTCTTTTTCAGCAAAAATTCACAGAATAGTTCCATTTATAGTCTGCGCTTTCTTTCAGAAGATTGAGACAAAAATAGCTGAATTTTAAATTGAAAGATGGCTCCAAAATTATTTTCAGAAACATTAAAGAATATGTTGAACTTCAGCATGCAAAATTGTCAAAGAAAGTACTTTCCGTAAATTGGTGTCTGTTCAAAATACAAGCAGCCTCTCGGCTGAGATAGCTCCGCTGTTAGCAATGCACGTTTCAATTAAAGAACTGAAGATATCATTAGAAAATGTACAAATCTGAGAGAAGTCTACCTGAGATACCTATAAGTATAACATCAATTGGACTTTTGGTTTCTAACAAGATTTTGAAAATATCACTTTTTACCAAAAATTGACAAAATTTTCATCAAAATTAGAGAATTGAAAATATCATCACGAAATGAACAAATCTGAGAGAGGTCTGCCCAAGGTACATATACACCAAGTATCAAAACGATAAGAATTGTAGTTTTCAAGAAGAAGTCGAAGAAGTAAAAAGTTGACTCGGACGACGGACATCGACTGACCCCAACGGATAATCACTCGTATGATAAGCTCTGCTCGGCAAAGTCAACAAAGGAGCTAAAAATAAAAAAAAATGTCATCAATACTTTATTCACTTATGAACAATGTTTTTTTTTGCAGATTGGACATGATTTTAAAATACAATGAAACAAAGCTGCAGAAAAAGGAGATGAGGAGAGAGGGGCGACCGAGAAAGGAAGCGGGAAGAGGTAGATCTGATGGAGATGACCAAGGAAGAGAACTTTGTAAGAGGAAAAACTCTCAACCTGCCACCAGGAATGGTGTTGGTGTTATACTGCCCACTATTAGTAAGCGCCATGATAATGCCATTGCGGGTCCAAGTGGGCATGATGTTACAGATGGTCACCATGGCAACATGGAAAATGCAACACAGTTGAAATATAAATATCAGAAACTGAAGGAGAGGTTTTCATCAGATGATGAGGACAGAGTGAAAGCTAAGAAAAATAAAACCCGCAAATTTGAAAGAAAAGAAACTGGGGATGGAGAGAGAGGGATACAAATCGTGGTAGGAGAGCTAAGTGATCAAGATCAGAAGGATCACTATGTGCAGAAGAAAAGAAGACATAAGCATGAACAGAGAGATCATCACATGGATATTGTGAGGGCCCCAAGCCCAAGAAGTTCTTTGAGATTAGGCAACAGAAAGGGTGCGTCTCCAGACAGAGACCCCGATAGAAGGGTACACTTTAGTGAAGAAGATGTCTGGAAAGCAGAAGAAGATGATATCATCCTTGAAAAGTTGACGAAGGGTTATTATGATGCTCCTTTGTTGCTAGACAATGTTGTGGATTTGGGAGATGATGGTAATGCTGTTGCCATGGAAATGGATGAGGAAGAACGACGACAAAAAAGAAGGAAGAAGAAAAAGGCAAGACATCACAAGAAGCTACTGGATTCTGACTCTGAGTAGGTCTCAATAGATCTGGCTAGATAGGTTCTTGGAATCATGTCAGTTAACTCCAGCTTTGGAGTTTCAAGTAGACTTTATTACAAGTCTTGTTGAAAAAAATTAAGAGAAAATGACTACAATATGAGAGAAAAATGAAAGATAATACAAATGACTTGTATTCCTTGCAAATATTCATGAGCTGCAGTTTGCATAGCACAATCAAATGTACCGCACCTTCTCTGTGAGTCCAGTATGAGAGCAACCTTATCTTTCCAATGGCAACTCAATGATACACTTATCCCAGGATGTCACAAAAAGTTACAATAACAGTGCGAACAGAAAATATAATTAGGAATCATACAATTACGTACATATTAGGCAAATATATTAGTTTCTGATTGGTTAATCTGCTTATTCAAGCAATAGATCTACATAGCTACATCTACCTCTGAGGGTGCACGATACAAGTCATTTGCTGTTCCACAATCATTTCATTATTTTTGGTTCTTCATTTCTTCATGTTACTATTATCCTACAGTATCGTAATGAAAATGTCTGAAGACTTACATCAGAAATTAGGTGTATCTATGCTATAGATACTGTAAACATCATTTTATTCTACTCCCACCACTGTCATTTATGCACCTAATGTGTAATTATGAAGACATCTTTGGCTCATTTAATTTTATTTATATACATATAATAGTATACATGTTCCATGCATCATATTGTGTTTTTTGTAATTTTCCATGTATATACCTATGTCAGAACTCACTCTAGTTTGATCATTTCATGGTCATATCTTTGATTTTCAGTAATGTAATCAGTTTGACTGCAATCATCAGCATTGGCCAATTTGCTGTGCTTTTATTCATTCATTGTTTTCAACTTTTTTTAAGATTTAGCAAGATTGGTTTGTAAATTTAACATGCATTCAAAAAAATTGTAATCACATATCTTAACCGGTATATCACCATACTGTACTGCCCCCCTGGGTGAGTGTGCCACAGACTCAATGACGAAGCCAAAGCTACTGATTGAGAATCATTCACTAACAGAAGTGACTTTGGGAGAACCTTGGTTAAGGGCTGCAGGTGCTTGTGTTCAACCGAGCCTGCTTGATACAATGATAGCACATTAAAATGCTATAAAGATAGTAAAAGACCACTTAGTACAGTTGTCATTGATGTAATCTTTGTTTTTGCGCTGGTTGCTTATATTTATCAGGTAAATATGTTTATTCAAATTACTGTAAAATACTTTAGTTTAGCTGGAATTAATTTTCGCAGAAATGACTTTTTGGATGTATGGAATTTATTTTCACTGATTTTTGACAAGTTTAATGTATTAAAAAAAATGTATATTTGCTAGATTTTATTTTCACTGAATCATTCGTTCAGCGAAAATAGCGAAAATTAATTCCAAGCTAAAATAAAGTATTCTACAGTGTACTTAAACATTCTAACATATTGATATGTAAAGAGAAAATAAATATGCATAGTACTTTGACAATAGAATTGTAGTGGTAAATTCTTCAATACTATGGATAACCTATTTTATCTAATTCATTTTTACTTGCTGATTTGCCATTATGTTTATGTAATCGGAAGAAAAATCCATGCAAAGAAAAGTAATTTTATTTGTCTGCCATAGAGGGCGCTATATTAGTTTTTTACTATGATGATGCTGACCTATTACGGTATGCTTCATAATTATTTTGTAAAATGAAAATCAATTTGCCAGTTTTTTTGCTCAGGATAAAATGACAATGTATTGGTTAATTACCCAACAATATTAAATTAATATAATTAAAGCAGATTTAGTGCTTGCAGTAAATATATCCCCAATTTTTTTTTTTTTTTTTTTTTCAGAACCGTATATCAAAGAACAACTTTGTACATTTGCACTACTCTTGTCACATTTAATATCATCATGCATGTTATCTGTTGAGGTCTTCTACGGTAAAATACTGTTCTCACCTAAAAGACGCTATGATGTAATTCATTTTTAATAATTGTTTCTGTAATACGTATATTTTTTATAAACCCAATGTTAATATCTGTATATGAAGTATGATTTTCTGAATATATTTTTCAATGCATTAACAAATTATCTATTTTTATAAATATTCATGTACAAAGGTTTTAAGTGTATATACAGAGAAGTATACAATCAAAGCTGTGCATGTACTTGCATTTAGTTTTTATTTTCAACTCCATTTTATACAATAATATTAAGTTTACAAATTGCATAAATTAAAGGAAAATACAATGCTGTAATTTGTTTGGTGTATGTGTGATTGGACTTTAGAACAAAATCTGGGGGGGGGGAGTACTCTAAGTCAGACCTGGTACCCATGCTAAAGTATAGCTTTTCAAAAAAGCCTCTAAACACGAACTTATTTTTGTGAAATTATACCCCTTTTCAAGTGCAGAAACTTAAAATAGATACCCTATATACTTACTAAAATCATACTGTTTCCAAGTTGAGGTAACCTGAATTCATGAGATTCTTTTTTTAACACTTTATATATTTTAAAATGTTCGACCCTAAACATGGTACATGTGTCAAATAACATCCTTTTTACGCGTTTTTTTACTTCAGCTTGCATACCATATTTTATTCAGAGAACCCCACCTGGGAGGAAAATAATCCAAATGTAGCATAGATAAGAGCCATGAACAGAACCACTCTTAAATCATACCTGAGGTCAGTGTGCCCTCTATTGAGACTGATTTTGATAAGACCCTGAGTTTATTGACTGCTGAAGAAAGATCTTCAAGAAGGTGTAGGTGGCTTACGACAACAACTTAAATATTGTGGTTGTTGATTTCTATTGTGTTTAGATTTATTTGTTTTAGAAAATTTGAATTTCATTTTAACAAATTCTAAAAATGTAGTATGATGTTGTTAAAAGCCTCTATATAAATGTGTGATTATTTTTGTCACGTCAATTAATTAGCACAACTAGTTGTGTCACTTAAAACTTTTGTTTTTCAGTGCTGTGTCATATTGGCTTAGAGGGCACACTGTCTGGGATTAAAGACCAAAGTGGGTAAGGGTGGGGTGGGGTGGGTACCTGCCATACAATAAAGAGACCAAAGATACTGATTATAATTTGTTCACTAAAGGAGATCATGCATCCCAAACATAGAATATGGTTTCTTTGACAAAATTCTGGTTCACAATCAGCACTTGCACTAAAATGTACAAAAAATTCAAGAGTGCAAGTGGCATTCATTGTCTTGTGAACTGTCATCTGGTTTAATTTTGTCAATAAAATGCATCAATACAAATATAAGAGACAGTAGCACAAATATTTTATTAATAATTAAAGTACATTTATTTAAAATAAAATTAGATAAATTTTAACACAATAATAAAACTATAATCAAATCAATCGCAGTAATAAATACTTTTGTCTAAAAATAAATACATAGAAAAATCACTTTAAATTGAAGTAAATAACACCTACATACATTTCAACTGAAGGGCAATTTTTAAAAAACAGAAATTACAATACACAGTATATTTGTATTTCCATGTACCCTGGATTCAAAAATCTCAAAACACAATATTAAATAAACTCTGCACTTTACAAAATGAGTTATTCGATTGCACAACAAATTTCTTTAAAAAACTTGAAATAAATATAGTTCTATAGTATGATGACCATGAATAGCAATGATGACTAATTTAACTGTTAAATATGACTAATAAAAATCACACTCTCTCTCTGGTGTGATTAGATGAGGTACATGTATTATAATGTGGATTACTTATTTTAGCTGGAATTTTATTTTCACTAAACCATAAATAGGAGTTGAATTACCGGTACATGTAAATTATTCATGGATTTCAATTCCACTGATTTTACTCTTAGTGAAAATTTCAAACTGAAATAAAGTATTCTACAGTAACAATCTCCAGGCTTAGATAGATGAACATTGCACCATTTGATGAAACAATTACTAATTTAAAGATTTCTACCGGTATTATGAATATATTGCAGTAATTTGTTATTATTTGACTGATGTATAGCTACCTATATCAACCTATGTGATACATATAGAAACCATTTCTGTGAGAGATGATTTAAGTTTAGGTTCTGCTAAACCTAAAGCTAAATCTGAGACCAAAATCTTTGACATCCATAAAAGGTGCTCCCCAAAGAGTTACAAAAACAAGAGTGTTGGGTTGGGTTGTCTGCATCTATTGAATTTTTCAAGATATCCGGTACTAAAATAGCAGAAATGTCAAGTAGACAGACAGACAATACAACATGGGTTGGTCTGCTGTGGTTGAACTGCATAAGCATTCACTGTTCTACCGGTAAATGGCTTATAGCCAAAAAAATGAAGTGGTAACATGCATTTCCTTTATTTTTTTTAAATTGATGTATAAATTATTTTACAAATATTTTGTAAAATATGATGTGACACTCCTCACCTTTCAAACTGACATGATCAATGTCCAGAAACAAATTTATTTTTGTTTTGTTGGCCTGATATGTATTATTAAAAACATCCCATACTATTAGGTGAAATTAATAACATACACAAATGTATTAAAATGTAAATGAATTCTGGGAGAATAAAATAATCATTGAATCCCAATAGAATTTCAAAATTTCTACTCCCATAATAAATATTTATTAGGCAAATAATCTAATATGTAAAAAGCACTGAAGCTGATATAGCTAGCGTACAATTATGAAGATTACTGTAATAATATTGAAGGTTAATACAATGTTGGCTAGCCTTCAAAAAATACATGTCTATTATATCTTGGGATACTTGGCCAGTTTTGATCATCAATCCTGTGATCTGAACTCAGATTACAGTAATTATCAAGACGGAAGCTCCATGATAGTGTTTTTGGTACAAGGAAGATAAATTTTCATTACATATACTAATTCTGCTGTTATTCTCATTGCAAAGACTCTGGCTTGTATTCAATGGGATACACAATAACAGTAGTTAAGACCAACATTTTGCCTACAGTAGCAAATAACTGCACATTCCTACGACTGTGAAGACTTTTTTCAATCATTATGGATGCTGCATACAATCACAAGCTTCCAGTTCTTTCAACGGTTCATTCAAATTCATTGCCTTGAACAGAAAGCAAAAAAAAAATCATTTCTCAAATCAAAATCTCACATTTTTTTGTATGAAAACAATTTTTTTAATTGTTGAGCAAGACATATACTCGTAGTCCCTGGAAAATTACGGCATTTTATTAAAAAATTATAACAAAGGCAAAATGCTGCCTCAAAATTGTTATGAGAAAAATGATGGTGCTACAGAGTTACAGAATTACAATGAAGTCAACAAACTCATGTTTATATTATAAATATACTTGAATATTTATAAACCCAACTGTTTCCACTTCAAACCAATCTCATTCAACATCAATCGACACAAGCATTTCAAGAAGCACTGATGCAACATACAGAAATTAGAATTGCCCAAGTCACTGCGCAAGTGCCTACACTGCATTTGAATTTATAAATATTTCAGGTTTATAAATATCTGTTATAAAAATACACCAAAGTACATTCATTAAATGATGATAACAAAAATTGCATGTCAAAATTGAATTTAGGATCTTAAAAACCAATAAGCAACTTGAAGTCGTAATAGATGACCTTTTTTCCAAGATGAGTCACTATCCTAAATATAGACGGTGAGTAATACGTATCCATTACACTTGAAAGGAAGCAATCAAGACAGAATGAGTGTGAAATACTGGATATGGATGTAGGATAATTGTAATTAGAGAAATTCTCCTAAAATTCATTGACTTAAAAACAAACGTACCCTTCTACTCAACCTATTGGCTGTATTCATCATGTCGTCTAGCCTTCCTTTCATCTGATCATGCAATTCACATTCTATGCATGGGTGTTCTGGGAGAGAGGAAGAAAGTGAAACGAAAAAAATTAAATTTCGGTATTGCGGTGTTTGAGGAGTAATAGCATCCTTGACAAAAAAAAAAAAACACAAATTTATTAAAATTTGTTGCAGTCATTCAACATGTAGTGACAGCTCGGTTCGGTCAATAAGCTCTGAAAGTGGTTCAATCGATTGTCGTCACTTGCAATCACCAGTCGGTCTGGTCGATTGAATTAAATTGTCTGATTGAACATTGCGGATACTCGGGTCTATTACACGGTACCGACTGACTGAATATAAAACGTCGTCTGCAACTAGATATTCGTGAAGTAACGACCAAGAAAACTGCCTAATAAGGTATTTGACAATGAATACAGTGCCACAAAAAAATAGACACCGCTCATATCGTTCCAGTCTTGGGACATGATAAGAAAACACTATATACAGTATAATAAACAGTAAAACACAGATCGAATCAGTGTCGCTTTCAACCGCAACTGGTTTTTACCTGCTGTCCTGAGAATGGTTTCTTCGGATTGGCAGTGGTACATACATATTGAGAATGCAACAAGAAACGCGACAACTCGAGACATGACTGAAATGTGCTTTTGATGAACTGAACAGAATGAACTCGGTCAGGGAGATACACACAGTCAATATGACGTACGCGAGTTATTTTATCTGCTCTCCAGAAATTCAATACAGGAAGTGCGAACGTAAATACGGAAGTGAATCCGCCATCAGCGGCGAGTATATCTGGGACACAATACGCATGCTCAGTGACTACACCTGTTTGATTTGCCTGGACTGCTCCGTTATTTTGTTTATATTATTTCTACTACTATGAAGCCTATTTGGAGGTGATTTTGGAAAATATTTCATGTTATGAACTGATTTTGTCAAGGAAAACAAAGCGTACGACATTCCAGGATGGATATGCCTCACCATATTTTGTCATCTATGGTGCAAACACGTTCTGTGGAGAGAGTGTTGGCACCCATTGCTGCACAGGTACGACAATAACAAAGCACGATTTTCCGTTACTTTCCCAGGAATTTAATCAGAAACAAGCCTGAAGATAATTATTACTCATGTCTCAACATTCTTGTATGTTATGAGTTACAAAAAGTTTAGTTTATGAAAAATTCAAACACACTGACTAGAGGTAGGGGGTGACCACCGAACTCGGCCAGAATTCTACTCGGCCAGTGACCGATCACGGCCAGTGACCGTACTCGGCCAGCATATGTGTTAATGGGTTTGTCAAAGGGTGTCGATTGTTAAAAAATAAAATATGGCCACAAGGATTATCGGTTTCAGTGACGCAGTGCTTTATGGTTAAAAACGTTGGAGTTCGTGTAACCGTGGTGTAACCCTCATGGTTAATTAACACATCTTGCAAGGTGTGATTCTTGTATTAGACGCTTGTTATTGTTTCCGTGTCACAAGCGGCAGCAACGAGCACTGCGTTATTTATGTAAAAATAAATACTGCACGGACGGCAAGGGTTTAATCAAGAATGGTGAGAGGCATGTAGTTCTCTTCAGTGGAAATGAAATACAACAGTTTTGAAACTATGCCATGTTATTGTATATACAAACCAGAAGGCTGTTGGCGATCCACTCCACTCAAGCAAGCAACATGTTGCCATGACGATCCGGCCCTGGTTTGGACGATCCAAAACAGATTGGGTATAAATTATATTCGATATGCGTTCATATCTGAACAAACTGTTTCTTTGCACGTTGTGCTTCTGGTTGTTGAGCAATACATTTCAGGGTCCGCATTTTTGTGGTTTGTTAGGATGTGTTTTCGTGGGGGGGAGATTGCGTGAATAATTGAGAACTGAAGTCGGAATGTAACAATGTAGCAAGATGTCCCACTCTGTCGCCAAGTTAAATGCCCGACTTCTTGTACTTTATACGCTAAGTTGCAAACAATGACCTGTCAATTGGCGGCAGATCATTGTTTAAAGAAAAACAATTCACGGCTTAAAGGTGTTAACAACATGAATAGAAGTGAGTACGTAATTGATGATGCCGCCTGTACTAAACTTCGACATGTCGCTTTCGAGGCATAGTTTGCAATAGAAAAGGTTACAACAAATAAATAAAATAAAACGAGGTATAAACATGAATAAACTGAACAAGCTCAAAGCTTAATTTACATATGAATAGCTGTGAATAATTTATCATCAGCAGAACATTACCGGCAGCGCGCACTGTGCGCCATTTTTGAAAACATGTGCTGTGGACTTATTATCGTTGTCGAATTTTTTATTTTGTGTTTGTTATGCTGACATTAATTGGTCCACATTAATTGGTCCACTAAAGATGCAGTTATGGAACAAAGCAGATGCTGCATGTGTACTTTGATTGTGGGTATTAGAAATAGAAGCGGTGCCGGATTCTGCGGGAGATTCTATGCACCAGAGTGTAGCTGCAGTTCTGTAGCTCGCTTGGTTTC